TTTTTTTTCGCTCATAATTGCAAATTAATAATGTTACGCTCGCAGCATGGTATCATCATTACTGCCGTTCACAATACTCAGCTATATCCGCATGCACAGCGGATCCTATCTCTGTGGTATAAGCCCACCCTCTAGTTTATTACGAATTCTCAATAATAAACGAACTACAATCATTAGATATTAAGGCTCGCAAAACTTTAATTTAGCAGAGATGGATAAAAGAAGCGCAGAAGTCATTTCCAACAAAACACCATCACACAGAGTAAACAGAACACTTTTGTGAACTTTTCAAAACGCAACTTACATCCCGGCAGTGAAAAATAACCGTACAAAAACAAAACTGGTTAATTTTAGCGAGGATGCATTATTCCTCTGCCACCGTCCACTCTGAGCAGTTCACCAGTAGTAAAGGAGCTCTTTTCTGACGCGAGAAAGAAAACAGCTTCTGCCACTTCAGATGCCTCACCTACACGACCAAGAGCGTGTGTAGTTTTTCCTTTTTCGAGAAACTGTAAAAATTCGACATGAAAACGAATTATTTGCACTAAAACTGCTGACTTACCTCTTGATAGCTTTTATCGTCCATTCCAGCTCTCTTGTGAACATTTGTAACAATGACACCAGGGCTAAAATGTTTTACATATTAGATTCCTTTCATCATTCATTCATTACTCATGTGATTCAGTGGAATTAATTTGTGATCTTTCTAGATCCTCCTAGTAAAAAATATAAGGCAAATCAAAATCACTTACTTTACCGCATTGACGCGCACTCCATGAGGTGCCATTTCCAAAGCAAGACATTTGGTAAATTGATCCAGAGCTGCTTTTGACATACAGTAGTAAGCGACACCAGGAAACTGCAACTTCTTCTTTTTTCGATATAAGCAAACAAAAGTTTTTGTACAGTTAGTGGGTTCCGAAGGTTCTGTGAGACTTACTGGACATGGTCCAGTGATGCTAGAAACAGAGACCACCGTTCCTTTTGTCTTGATGATGTGCGGAAGGGCTAATCTCGTCAATCGTACGACACTAAAATACAAAGCACACATAAGAAATTCAAATTGAAGCAAATCCTTCGTCAGTAATCCCATTTAACGCATCATGTGTGAGGCTGACTTTATACTTAATCAACTTTAATTTACTATTTACTGTACAAGTAAAGTCCAAATATTTCGCTTTTTTATGCTGCAAATTAGATAACATTAGCAGAAAATAACATTAAATAGAAATCTCAATCACAAGATTGATGTTTTGGTAAGACAATGTAGAAAGATGCAAAATCACCGTACCTAAGACACAACGGCAAGGGGGGAGATTATATTCT